TATCAAAAACATACAGGCAGACTCAAAAAAAAACCAGTAAATAATTAGCCAAAGTAAACCCTTATCCAGCAAATAACGGAATGTTTGCATTTCTTTTTCCATATTTTGATCAGGTGCCATTTTGTACAGAACTAGGGCTAAAGAAACCCTCCCCTAAATCATGTTGCTCACATGAGATTCCGTTCTCCTTAATACAGAAAAGTGTGTGAGAACATGCCAGCACATTTTTTCTTATGTAGGTAATGGTTACTTGTTTGAGTACGTAAGTTACATTCTCTGCCTATTCTGCAGGCACAATTAGACACACGCTGTGTCTGGTGCCAAAAGTTTAAGGGCAGTTATCAAAATCTGAGCAGTTTTCTATTTAGCATTTTTCCCTAGCATTTCTCCATCGCCTCCTTCCTTATACTGGGTAACCACTCTCGTGCAAACCTTTATCTGTGAATGACACAGGAGAACTTATTACGCAGGAAAAGCATGTCTCAATGGAAGTACGTCGTCATGATTTATTTAACAGCTCAGGAGAGTGAACAATAATAAGAAACTGAAGAGAACCAGAAAAATGGAACAAGTTGATGAAGGCCCTCGAGTCTGTTACATAGCATTCATGATTTTAGCACAGGTAGGCTGCATGCCAGGAGAAAGGAGGTCAGTAAGGCCATGTGACTGCTTGGTAATTAGGCTTGCTCAATAGTGCAGTTACACAAAAATATTAGTTCATGAGTGTTACATGACTGTTTAAAGAGAAAAGTTCATCAGAAATGTATTCAAGGTTGCAAGATTCAAAACACATTTTGAAAAATGAACCGTAACTGTTGAGTCTGCAGAGTAACAATATTGTTTCCAACAAGAAGATAAACCTCCTGTTTTCCTAGCGTTCTTACACCATTTTCCTCATGTTCACTGTTAGTCATACTTCAACCTCCAACAGAAGAGTTTTGCTCAGGTCACTGGAACCATTAACTTAGCATAACATAAACTCTTGGTATAAACCTACCCAAATCAAGGAAAGATCACGGTAAAACTACCACAAGAGATTAAATCTGACTCATCTTCCAAATGCTGAGGGGTTTCTGCTCCTACTCTCAAACATTACGCATTTTTGACCAATGCAACACCCTACAGCACAGACATGCAAGCATCCTGCTAAGAGTCATCCAGTGACCAAGGAGATAAAGTGTTTGGTTATCAGTTACAAGTGCTGAACGAGACTGGCAAGCCAAAAAACCGCATCATAAGTCTTGGGTATGCATGCTATGAGAGTGTGCATTACCATCAGTTAAAAATAGCTCATTAAAACCACTGGATCCTAACATGGACCCATTCCAAACTACTAAGCGTTCATTTAAATATGATTTTATGGTGTTCATTCTAACAAAGCTCTGTCAATCACCTACTTTACAAAAATTAATGTATTTCTTCAGACTTGGGGGAAAAAAAAAAAAAAAGGGCTTACAAAACTGGGCTATGAAAGCAGGGAGATCTTCTAGTCAAAGTCATGTACAGCACGTGCACTGAGCTGTACAAGTCCCAGGAGGCTGTCTGAAGTGCTTGGGATAGCAGAGTCAACTCACCCTCCTTCTATAGGCCTCTGTTCATAGAGAAAAAGGAGTGGAGGTGAGGAGGGCTCCCTCCAAAAAAGAAAAACATAGAAAATTCTCTCTTCTGGAAAAACCAAACCAAACGAAACCAAACAACAAAGAAAAACAAAGCCTCTAACCATCAACTGAAAAAGATAATTTTCTTCAAAAGCAAAAGACAGTGTAGCAACCGTCCTTTAGAACACCAAGAACTGTGCAAAAGCAAACAATTTAGTCAAAGCAGATGAGTACACAAAGGTACTCAGGGACTGCACTAGCTGAAGCTTGTATTAAGTGGCCACTGAAGAACCAGGACTGCAGCACTACAGACATAAGCTTCCTTTTGCTAAAATCCAAGTTCATGTTCTGTTTACAAGGGTGAGTAGTGACAGGACAAGGGGGAATGGTTTTAAAATGAGACAGGGGAGGTTTAGGTTAGATATTAGGAGGAAGTTTTTCACACTCAGGGTGGTGAGGCACTGGAACAGGTTGCCCAAGGAGGCTGTGGATGCCCCATCCCTGGAGGCATTCAAGGCCAGGCTGGATGTGGCTCTGGGCAGCCTGGTCTGGTGGTTGGTGACCCTGCGCATAGCAGGGGTGTTGAAACTAGGTGATCATTGTGGTCCTTTTCAACACAGGCCATTCTATGATTCATGCCTGTCCACCATTCACAGCTCAGAGAACACAACCCAATGGCCTGGTGTTATGTAGCATTTTGGTTGCAAAACACATCAGAAAACTATGAAGTATTCCTAAGACATGTGATTTCCTTAGCACCGAGGCCTGTTCCTATTGCCCAGATTCTTTCAAAACATAAGCACTGACCATACTTTGTCCATAAAGATCAACACTGCTAAGCATTAGGGCTCATTATGCAAAAGGAGTTATTCCCTTCAAAGCAAACAAACAAAATAAAAAGCCACTGTGAGAGAAACGCATATCGGACCTCGGATATGGAAGAAATGATAACTAAAAGCTATTATTGAATGCTATGAGCCTCACTGTTGTCAGTGGAAGCGTCCATCCAGGAAAGGTTAACGTAAGAAATCTTAGTATTCCTATCCCCTGAAAACCAGAGACTGGACCACAACCCGCATCCAAAGCGACAGAAGTCACGGGGTCCGAAGGAAACCATCCTCGAGGAGAACCGAGCACGGGACGATCCCAACTCCGTCCCCGGTCATGACGTGGCGCAGTGCCGTCACGCCGCGCCCGCTCGCTCCGAGGCAGCGCTCAGCTCCGCGCCGCGCTCCCGACGGGACGGGTGGCGCCGAGCCCCGCGGTCACCGCCCGCGCGCGGGGCCGCAGCCTTCGAGCGACGCCCGGAGCGCCCCACGGGGGCAGCCCCGTTACCCGCTCCTTATATGGCGCGCACGGAGCGTCCGTCTCCCCGCGCGGCCGCACGGAGCTCCCCGCCCGCGCCCGGCCCCCACTCACCGCCAGCGGTTGATGCCCACGTTGGAGGAGCCGGCGAACCAGGGGTCCAGGATGTAGACGCAGCGCACGGTGTCGGCGCCCCGGATGCACTCCCGCAGCGCCGGGTTGTCGTGGAGCCGCAGCCCCTTGCGGAACCAGTGCACGGCGTTCACCCCCATGCCGTGCTCATGGCCCGGCGCCCGGGCGAGCAGGGGGCGGCCGCCGCCCCGCGCGGTGCGGGGGGCAGAGCGGCGCGAGCGCTCTAGGATCCGGCGGAGGCGGCCACCCGACGGGGACGCATCACCCCGCGGAGCCCCGCGGCTCGGCGGGAAGGGACGGCTCGGGGACGGGGAGCAGCCGCGCGCTCTCCTCGTGCCGCGCCGCCGACGGCCGCCACCTCGCCGCTCGCCCTGTGACTGCGCCGGAGCTCCGCCGGGCGCTCCGCCCCGCCCCTCGCCGCCGATTGGCCGCCTCCGCCCCCACGTGACCGCCGGCCCTCACGTTTCTGAAGTGTGTTCGCCGCCGGCCGCGGCGGGAGGTGGCGCAGCGCGGCGGGATTCCCGCCCAACCTGGGCGGCGCGAGGGGGCGGCGGGGCGCGGGGCCGCGAGGCGCCTCGCGGAGGAACAGCCGGCCCTCCGGGCGCGTGCCCGCTGACTGTTATGTATCGCGCCCCGCGCGCTCCCGCTGAAGGCGGCGCGCATGCGCCGCGGTGCCGCGCCGCTCCCCTCGGGCGTCCCCCGCTTTCAGCCTTACCCCTATCCCACCCCTCACGTCTCGCTGCGGGTCTGGCGGCACCGAGGCGGAGTACCGATCCCCTCTCCGCCTCCCCCGTCTCCACCGACGGGCCGCTTATGTAAGGCCTACGCAGCCAGCCCGGCCCGCCCGCACGGCACCCACCCCCACCCCTCCCCCAGCGGCGATTACAAAACTGCCAAGTACGCGGGCACAGCGAGGCCGCCTGCTCGTTATTCGCAACGCGGTGTTTGTTTATGAGGTTGGAACTCCTCTCCCCGAGCGGCTCGGAGCCCTGTCTCTCGTCATCGCTCCCTGCCAGGGCTGAGGCGCCGAGCAGCGAGGCGGCAGCCCGCCGCCAGCCCCGCTCCCCGCAGCCCCGCTCCCCGCAGCCCTCCCCCGCGGGTTTCGTAACCGCCGCTCCCCGAGCCGCGCTCGCTGCAGGCTGAGCGGCAGCCGCAGTCTGCCTAGCACTGGGATAAAGCACCTCCTTCTGACCGCACCTTCCTTGTTAGGCCGTTGGGCAGCGGGTCAGAAGTGGAAGGGAGGTGAAGAATATATTAATTAAGGAGGCTGTCTGAGCAAGGAGAGAAATAGAGCCGTGGTTAATCGAGGATCTCGCTCGCCTCGCTGCTGTGCTCTCCTGCGGGTAACTTTCTGAAGGAGCGCTAATTGGGCTCATTTAGTGCAGACCATGAGAACAAGGTCAGAAAGGGAAAAGGATAAGACAACGGTGTGACATGATAGGAATTGAACGTGAAGTACATACATCAAGTATGCGATATGTTGTGTTAAGAATTAGGAGTGCTCTTCAGGTCCCTGTTCTTAACATCACTGGATGCTGCTGTGTGGTACGCATTGACAAACACCGACTGTTCGTGAAAGTGTAGCACAGTGGGAAACAGTCCCAACTGGGCTCACAGAGTGGCCCTTCTGCAGTTCTCTCACACTTAGATCTAACACAGGCTACTGAATGTGCATCTGACAACAGAAGGGTTTCCAGAGCCAACAGTGCCAATTTTAATGCTCTGAAGGATATGAACATGCAGATCCCATGCTAGTTTGAAAAACAGTAAAATCACAGAATGGTTTGGATTGGAAGAGACCTGAAAGACCCATCTATTTCCAACCCCCTGCCATGGGCAGGGCTGCCACCCTGCAGCTCAGGCTGCCCAGAGCCCCATCCAACCTGGCCTCAAGCCTCCAGGGATGGGGCACCACAGCTCTGTGCAGCTGTGCCAGCGCCTCACTGCCCTCCGAGTAAAGAATTTCTTCCTAACTTCTAACCTAAATCTCTTTTAGTTTAAAACTGTTCCCCCTTGTCCTATCGTTACCTACCCATATAAAAAGTTGATCTCCCTCCTGTCTCTAAGCTCGGTAATTTTTGTATGAAAGTGCTCGCATGTCTACAAGTTGAAAAGATTTGTGCGTCACTGATTTGTTTTCTAACTTCAGAAGAGATCCAAGGCAGACACGGCTCCAATCACCCAGAGGAAGCAGATTCTCACCAGCACAGCGTGTTCAGCTTCTGAAGCACCACCAGCACCCCCTGCTAGCCCGATGACCACATCTATGAATTTACTGCTTTTTTCTGTAACAAGTGCAGCGATCACATGGAAGCACACGCGCTGAGGTTACAGAAGCCTCCCTTAAAGGCATCAGCGTGCCTCTCCTCAGGAACCTGAGGTGATTTCCCATCACGGAGACCACGCAGCGCATTCACCGCACTCTAAGAACAAAAAGCACCAAGGCATCACCTACAGCACACTAAATATGCAGCTGCGGGATGGCAAAGTCCTTGTTTACGGGAGAGATCCACACCCCACAGCAATCCGTCCGCGCGCCATGGCGGTAGGGCGGCTCCGCACGCCCCGACCACACGCTATGCTACGTTCCGTTCGTTCCGCTCCGCCCCGCCCACTGACGGGGGTCGGGCCCGGCGCGGCCGCGCAGCGCTCAGCAGGAGGCAGGTCAGGCGCGGGGCGGAGGGGCCGTGCGGGCGAGGGGGGCTGTGCTGTAGGGGTGCAGCTGGGTGAGAGCCAGCAGCCCATTCGGGCTGCCTTTTGGGTTTGTAATCTCTCCATACGTAGACCCGCAGTCCCCGTTGCGATACAGATATCAACCGCTGTCCGGCATGAGCTTATGAGAGCTCTGAACTCTTGGCACAGGTTAAATACTCAGGCGCTGTTGTCATCTGCAGACTCTGACATGCATTTCAAACACCAAGCGTGACCGCTAAGCTTCTTCTCAGTTCCTGCTGCACGCCGTAACATTATCATCTATTCATCTCTTTTCAATACAATCTGCTCACTGTTTTACAAAAGTTCCTGGGTATGCAGTCAAATGTGGTTTAGCAAGTGAAGGCTTCCTTCCTTTTACAGCATTCTGTGTTTGCATGGAACATAGAATCATAGAATGGGCTGGGTTGAAAAGGACCACAATGATCACCGAGTTTCAACCCCCTGCTATGTGCAGGGTCACCATTCTCACTATCACCAAGGAAAACATGACTGTGATGCCAAACATAATTCCAGACAACCTAAAGCTTCTCTAAAGCAAACTTAACAAGAATTTCCATGTCAGATTTTGGAAAAGCGCAGTTTACTGTTGCAGAATTTGGCCTTGTTTTTAAAAAGCTCCATAACTAATCTGTAAGATGACTCTCTATTGTAAGTGACTGCATTACTCACAAGGCAATTTAGCCTAACAGTTGGATTACACATTGAAATAAAAGTCATGGTTAGTTATTTTCCCAGTTTGTACTTTGCAAGCATCACCTGACACCCCAAACAATTTTAATAATTGTTTATTTAGATGGCAGTTTTCAGCTGAGCTAAAGCATTAATGCAGAAAGCCCCGACCCTTCAGAGACTGATTACTTTGACTGGACCCAGTGAATAGAATAGAACCACTCAGTTCTCAAATGCAGGCAGTTGTGTCACTTCCTATGGAGGACAGGCTTCAGTTTTCAGTCCTGGTGAAAGTCGCTTTTTCAGGATACAAAAGGAACAACACTGGAAAAATCTTACCTGCACTTTGGGTTGATTTCATAGCTACTTGGAGAATCACTGTGGTGGTGAATGGAGTTAAATCCAGCTGGCGACCGGTCATGAGTGGTGTCCCCCAGGGGTCGGTGCTGGGGCCTGTCCTCTTCAATATCTTTATTGATGACCTGGATGAGGGCATCGAGTGCACCCTCAGTAAACTTGCAGATGACACCAAATTGGCTGGAATTGTGGATCTGCCTGGGGGTAGCGAGGCCATACAGAGGGATCTGGACAGGCTGGATAGCTGGGCTGAAGCCAATGGGATGAGGTTCAACAAGACCAAATGCCGGGTCCTACACTTTGGCTACAACAACCCCAGGCGATGCTACAGGCTTGGGGCGGAGTGGCTGGAGGACTGCGTAGAGGAAATGGACCTGGGGGTATTGATTGATGCTCAGCTGAACATGACCGACAGTGTGCCCAGGTGGCCAAGAAGGCCAATGGCATCCTGGCTTGCATCAGAAACAGTGTTGCCAGCAGGAGCAGAGAGGTGATTGTTCCCCTGTACTCAGCACTGGTGAGGCCGAACCTCGAGTACTGTGTCCAGTTTTGGGCCCCTCACTGCAACAAAGACATCGAGGCCATGGAACGTGTTCAGAGGAGGGCAACAAAGCTGGTGAGGGGTCTGGAAAACAGGCCATATGAGGAAAGGCTGAAGGAGCTGGGAGTGTTTAGTTTGGAGAAGAGGAGGCTCAGGGGAGACCTTATTGCTCTCTATAACTTCCTGAAGGGAGGTTGTAGTGAGCTGGGAGTCGGCCTCTTCTCTCATGTCATTAGTGATAGGACCAGAGGGAATGGTTTCAAGCTACGGCAGGGGAGATTCAAGCTGGACATTAGGAAGTATTACTTTTCAGAAAGGGTGGTCAGGCACTGGAATGGACTGCCCAGGGAGGTGGTGGAGTCACCGACCCTGGGGGTATTCAAGGAAAGACTGGATGTGGTGTTGAGGGACATGGTTTAGTGGGAGCTATTGGTAATAGGTGAACAGTTGGACTGGATGATCTTTTAGGTCTTTTCCAACCTTGGTGATTCTATGATTCTATGATCACTCATTCAGTGCTAGAGCTCACTGGGCAGTAATTCTCAAGCCACTAAGTGTATGAAGATAAAGCCATTAAACCTGGAGTTATGACATACAGCTTCGTTGAGCTGTGAGGTTGTGCCTCAGAAACTGAAATATGACTAAGAACCAAGTTACTGATGAACAGCTTTCTGCTAACGGCAAGCTTCAATGTAGTTCAGCATTTTCTATGTCTTAATCTACTAGTTTATGATGTGGCAACATAATGAAAGTCCAGCTACTAGAAACTGAAAAACATCAACTTAAAAGCAATGATACACATTATTGACAAAAAAGTATTTTACCACTAGAAAATGTTTAACCATACCTGAAGTTCTGTCACTTTGGTCCCCTAAACAAATCATGTATTTTCATGAAAGATGGATAGAAATCAGATTGTAAGGATTTCATGTTCTGCATGAAGCTTCTTAATATATGTTATGCAAGAGATCAGATTGGGTGATTGTAACAGTGCTTTCTCTCTAAAAAAAAAATAAAAAAAACAACCAAAAAAGCCTTACTTAATACTCAATGGGTGCTTTTTGAAGCACATTATGCTTTGGGAGAGGTGAATGTGACTGTATAAATAGGGTTGTCCAATACACAACGTAATTTTCTCTTCTTTCCCCCTTTTGAGTTAGGGCAATTTTCAGTGTGTTAACAGCAGCAGCAATTAGGTCAAGCATTTCAGAGACTAGAAGTTCTCACTTCCACCTCGGTGCTTCCTAAAGGTTGTTACAAAACCACCCCCTAAGAAGTTAAGGATACATCAGTGATATCTACGCACGCATGACTGCCGCTGCAGCTCCTCCAGCTGTGGCAGAGCAAGTGGCACTGCCTGTGCTATTCATGATACCTGGCACTCAGCACCAGCAAAGCTGCCCCACTGGGTTATCTACAGCTGCACGGTGGTTGTGCACTTACCCAAAGGGCTGCACAATGGCTCTGGGCCCACTGGAGGTGGCGGGCAAGGACAAAAAGCAGAAGTTGGAAAGAAGGTACTGTAGAGGCAAGTAAAGGCCTGAAGATGTAGCACTGTGCTTGCTTCCTCTCCCAAATATCAGGGTGATTACTTAGCCCCAGTTAGCAGATTCAGCTAATGAAAAATGCGTAGATACACAAGCGGGTTCAATGATTTTTTCTTTAATTGCACGGAGAATGAGTTGATAAGGCAGTTAAGCTGTGAACTGCTACTGAAGGAGCACCTGGGAGTGCTCTGACACATGAAGGAACATGTCATGCTCTAAACAATGCCTAAGCAGTTAAGCAAATACATTAAGAAGAGCTAAGAAGTATGTTTTAAGCTGTATTTTGGTTTTTTGTTTTTTTATTCATCTAGTAGAATTGCTGTCAAATTAAATTGCATGTAACATTTTTCCACTGCAGTGTGAGTGAGCTGTAACACCGTCACTAGCAGGAAATAGCTGACAGCTTTGTTCTTGTATGACTGCAGCATATCATGGACAGAGTACTGCCCCCATAGCAGCACAGTTGCATCCACACGTTATGTTCTGGTGAGGCATCAATCAGAACATTAACCTTTCAAAAATCTTTTATTTCCCTTCTGCACAAAAGCTGATTTTTTGTGCTAATAACAAAAAATACTGTTAAGAGTAATTTCTTATGCCAGCTCAGTCTAAATATCAATGGTTCTGCGAACATTACGAGGTATAATTTGTGTCTTCAATGTGTTTTCAAAGCATTGTTTTTCCTCTCTGCGTAGAGCTGCATTCCATGATGTTGAGAGGAGTTGCTCACAGTGCAAAAGATACAGTTACATTTCTGTTGGCAAGATGTCACTGCAGTAGGCCTGGGTTGAATATTTTGTCCTTACGGCCTGAGATAACAAAAATAGGCTTCTTAATCCATTCAACGTACACAACTGATACAAAGTCAAGAGAGGAAAATAAAAAAACCATCGAGGATCTCCACAAACTGTCAGTTGATATTAAGAAAATACGCAGAGGAAAGGAATGGGTCCTTCTCCAGGATGTGGCCTACGTTCCAGAAATCGCCAGAATTCTACGAGCAATGGGTGCGGATGACCCCGCTATTGCCAGTATCTTGGAACGCTGCCCAGAGGCAATGCTGCGTAGTCCTGCAGAGGTGAACTCTCAAAGAGCTCTGTGGCAACTGGTATGCCAGAAGGAAGACCAGCTGATTAAATTAATAGAGCAGTTTCCAGATTCTTTCTTCACTACCGGGTATCACGAGAACCAGAAAGCAAATATTCTATTTTTTCAGGAACTGGGACTTAAGAATAATATAATCACCAGGTTCTTGACGAGCGCACCCAATATCTTCCACAATGCAGCTGAGAAAAACAAACACGTGATAGAGACATTACAAAAAAGTTACTTAAGTTTAGGAGGTTCTGATGCAAATATGAAGATCTGGATACTGAAGTTACTGAGCCAAAATCCATTTATTTTGTTAAGTACCTCCTCGGCAATTCAGGAAAACTTGGAATTTCTGCAAAAGAGTGATTTCACTGACCACGAAGTCCTACAGCTGCTGTCCAAACTTAAAGGTTTTATTTTTCAGCTTACACCCTCCACTATGCAGAAGAGCATGCTATTTTCCAAAAATGTCTTTAAGTGCAGCGATCAAGAATTCAAACGACTGGTACTGAAATGCCCAGCCCTTCTCTACTATTCTGTTCCAATTCTGGAAGAAAGACTTGAGGGACTGCTGAAGGAAGGAATTTCTATAGCACAGATTAAGGAGACACCAATGGTGCTGGAGTTGACGACACAAATTGTTCAGTACAGGATTAAAAAACTTTCTGCTTTGGGGTACAATATAAAGAGTGGAAATCTAGAAAACTTGAATGGTACTAAGAAAGATTTTGAAGCAAATTATGGTAAGATACAATCAAAGAAGGAGAGACCAATGTTTAATCCTGTTGCTCCTCTAAACATTGAAGATTAATTTGAAAACCGTACTTAAAATTATGCAATAAAGAATGATTAAAGAGAAAAGAGGTTTTGGTTCTTTGATAGGAGTTGAAGGAAAAGTCATCTTAACCAGACTGTAGTCTTATGCTGTCCTTTGTCGTGGAGTGGGCTTTATGCACAATTTCATTATAAAATTGCAGCTTTTTAATGCTGGTTATGGGAAAGGTTGATTAATCCTTTACATAAGGATTATTTTTTTTTTCCCCCAGGGAGCATCTTACATATCTTTTTGGTTCTGATTTCCTTATCTGCCTGGCCTCTAGCTTCTGTGGCTTTTCAGCTCCATCACTGCACTGTCTGTGGTAGTGCTTAGCGTAATCTTTATCTGAGAAAGAAAAGGAGGATTATTTTGCCAGTAATATGAATCCACCCACTGGTCCACCGCCTTTGGAGATGTATATCGAGTTCCATTCCTTATTGCTGCAGGAAGTGGCTACAGCTCCTGCATCCTGAATTGAAGCAGATGTGACTTTTGTGCGTCAGGACCCAGATACAGCATTGTCTGAAAACAGGCAGAATACAGTATTTGTATTTAGCAGCTACTATGGTAATATCCTAGTGTGTTCATTTACAAACCATAATGCAAAGAGACTACAAGACAGCCTCCCTGAAATTTCCATGACTATAGAAACTGATTCCTTTTGCAAAAGGATGGAGGGTCAGAAGGAAATACATTTATTGCTGTTACATGGTTGTTCATTTCATCTTTTCTAGCAAGGCATGGAGAGAGAAAAGGCTATGGAGTGACTTAAGTCTCACATGACTGAAAGGGAAAAGTCCTTTTTTGTATGTGTATAACAGAACTAGAGTCTGAGCACACTGGTGGTTAAAAGTGACCATCAGATTTGCAAATAGCTGCCATAGTTTCTAAGTATATGGGTGACAGTTTCTCATGTATCACTGTGATTGTTGACAAGTGCTAGCTTTTAAAATAGTACCTGTCCTACAGTGTTTAAGTCCTTGGGGGATTTTTATTTATTTTCATTTATGGGCTGTGAATAATAAAAAAAAAAAATAGCAGCACCATTAAAGTTCCTCTCAATAAAATTAGAATCAGCAATATTACATGTGAAAAATAAAGGCAGACTTTCTTAAGCAGCTGTTCTATACAGATTCCCCTTTGGCATCAAGAGCTAAACCAGCCATACCCCCACGCCAGGCCATCCCAATCCAGGGTTCCTTCTCTTGAGGAGGAGCTTTAAAATACAGAAGAACAGTGGTATTGAATTACTTATCTAGAAAGTGAGCTGCAAGGTGATGCCACACAGCCTGCCACATTAACTAGTGCAAAATCTGGTCAAAGCCGTGAGGGGATGCCAGCAGGTCATGGAGGTCTGGCCAGAGCACATGTAGTGGCAGCCAGAATTCAAGTGACACCACCACCAGCCACCACAGATGTTCAGCTGCCTTACTAAGCCATTTGCTGGCTGACTCTTCAAAACACACAGTTGATTTATAAGAGGGAGCAGAGACAGCCATATGAAAAGATTGCAGCAGCTAGCCTTTGTCACTGTTTGACTGTCCTCCAGCACTCGGCTTTTACTGTGATCACCATATTTCGATTCAAAAGCCTCCATCCCTCAGACACAAGGGGGCATTTCGGATCTATGGAGGTATCCATAATACCATCTACTGTAATGCTGAGCCCCAGAAACAAGCAGTCATTCAGGATGAAAAGGAAACTGAGACATAAGAGAACATTTTCCATAAGAAGTTCTAGCATTTCTACTGGTATCTGGTTATACAATTCCTGCTACTGTTATTCCCATCATGTAAAGTACTCCCAGCAGCAATGAAAGAAATGCATCATTTTCCTGTTTCCTCAACAGTCACTGCCAGTTATTGCAAAAGCATTTTCCCTTCTGCAAGTTTCAAAACAAAAGCATAAAGACTCCTTTTCTATACCAGCCAGCCAAAACTCATTCAGCCCTTCATCCATAACTATACCTGAGGCCCATCTCTCTGCTCTTCCCAAAGTATATTCAATAACAAAACCTCAGTTAAGCCCTTGATTGCCAAAACATTACTCAGTGACTGCTACAGTGAAATCCTCTTCTTAATCTCTGCTGTTATAGCAAACATGAACATAGAATCATTAACACTGGAAATGACCACAAAGATCACCCAGTCCAACCATCAGCCCACCCCCACCATGCCCACTGACCACATCCCTCAGTGCCACATCCACATGGTTCTGGGACACCTCCAGGGACAGTGACTCCACCACCTCCCTGGGCAGCCTGTGCCACTGCAGCACCACTTTTTCCGGGAAGAAATTGTTCCTAATATCCAACCTGAGCCTCCCCTGGCCCTTGAGTCCATTCCCTCTCATCCTATTGCTGTTATTTGGGAGAACAGCCTGACCCCCCCACCTTCTCACTCAAAGTCCGTGGCCCAGTCTTTTTCTGCAAAACTAGCAGTCATGTTTATCAAGATGATTTGTATGCATTTCCCATTTTGAAATGGGGGGGCTGGGAAAGTGAGAGTTAAAAAAAAAAGTTCCATATTCTATTCAACTTCCTACAATCTTAAAAGCGGGTATCACCAATCCTCAGTTCCCAGGAGAAAAACAAAACAAAAAGCAAACAGTGAAGATGATTTTGCATTGTGTCTGTGCACAGCCAACAGCACAGTGAAGTGTGGGTTTTGTTAACAGCAGCTTGGTGCTATTTAGGTGCAGATTGCCTGGGCCACCGATACAGTAAGAAGATTCAGACGTAAGCATTTACTGATCTGCCTTTCTCCACAAAGTAACTAAGGAAACTTTGGTAAGTCTGAAACAGCAATGATTTAATGTTTCACAAGTGTCAGGACAGAGTCAGAACAAGTTCTTAAGAAGGGACCTTCTTAAGTGAATGGAAAATATGCAGAATACAAGAAAAAGTTCTTCTCAAAAACTAAAACCATATGCCACGGTAAAGCATTTCAGTTACAAGATTCAGAAGTAATAACTACAGGACATGCTAAGAACAAAACATACCAAAGCGCTGGCAACCTTTTACAGTTCTAACATTGCATCTCTCCTAACACGCTTGTTCTGCAGCAAGTTTCATAGCATAAAAATTAAAGAATGCCATAAAAAAAGGAGTAAGACAAGTTCAATGTTCGAGTATTCAGAAAACAGTGAAGGATTGGATTGAGTGTTACAAGTCTTGCTATGCTTCTAAACAGCTGGCGTGCAGTGCTCACTGGTAGTGCCCTGGGGTACGCTGGAAACTGCCCCAGGCTCAATAATTTGCTGCTGGTGTCCAAGGTGCTCATCCCTGCAGCTATCTGGGATCTTTAAACTACGCGGCATTCCATCACCTTCTGACTATAAAAATAGTTAAGGACTGCATTTATTGCTTGACCTTACCTCATGACACACACTTCCAGCAGTTTAGAGATAAGCAACTGGTGCAACTAAGAAAAGGAGCAGAGAGGTCCACCTGCTGTGTTTTGCTGTCCCCACTGCCCCAGTCAGTAAACCTAGTAATACATAATCATTACTGATCGCCAAGTCAAGCTGTTCCAGACTGCAGCTGAAGCACCACTGGCTCAGAAAGACAGGGTTACCACTGTACCATCATGTGCACAGTTTAATTTCAACATCCGTGAATACAGGAGCAAGTTTTAGACACGTGATATACTTTTGTTTTTTTTTTTTTTCTTTAATTCCTAAAAAGTCTCTATATATCCTTGAACAACCACAGCTACCTGAAAAGTAAGCTTATAAGCTTAGAAGTTTTTGGAAGGAACACAACTTTTTAGAAAATACTGCTTATACAATGTTCACAGCCTTCTTATTTGCAAAGTCAGCACACACACAAAAAAAGATCACCAGCAGCTTCTACTTTAAGGCAACCTCAAGCTGCGTCCTTGGAGTGCATTTTGCCTCATACACTGCAGAGGACCTACAGATGTTCCCATATGAGGAGTGTCAGAGTTTGGCATTTGTCAGTAAACAGCTTACTCTGATTTTTTTTTTTTTTTTTTATAAAGGGGCTCACATGCCATTTTTGGTTTAAATAAAAGTACTGCATTTTACTCAAAATGCTAAGTATGAGATAAAGATGTAGTGAAAAAATTATTGCATTTGTTTGAACAGAGCAAGAAGCTAACCTGGCACATCATGGAGTCGAGACAAGAGCTTTGCTGGTTCTTCAGTGGTTTCCAGCTATACAAAGCAGTTTTTTCAAGTTACATAGCTGTGTTAGATGACTACAACCACCTGCTCACTTCCATTAAGCCATCATTATTTTCTGGTGTCTCTCAGAAGCTGATCAAAGCAGTTTCCACTTGCAGGAGACAGATGCCTATCATTAAATACACCTGAGATTTAGCAATCTTGTATTCAGTAAAAACTGAGCAAGTTTCAGGTATCTGGAGTCACAGAGTCTCTGAAGCTTGTTCAATGAACTGCACAGAAACAATAGAACAGCTCTTTACAAAGCTTCACCTAATAAAGAGAGATTCTTTTCTAATAAGGCATTAAGTTAGATTTTATTATCCCTTGTACCACACTGTCAAACTTTCTCACCTCCCATCTCCCTCTCATTTCCAATCTGTTTGCTTCCAGTTTGCAATGGCAGAGTGGAATCATTGAAAACTGTCAGGCTGTCTGCAAGTACTGTTTCCTACCTGTAACTACTGAGGCACATCCCATGGTGCCATTACACAGCTCAAGGATCCTTAGCAGGAGGATGCAGAAGCCACTGAGGACAGTAAGTGGCACCTCATCAAACTGATGATACGGCAGATTATCAACTTAAGTTTCTACGTTCACATTTCAGTCCAAAACTGCAGAAGACTTACAGTAAGTGAATATTCAAATATGCATTACCCCTTCAGACACACATACTCGCTCCTATAGTTATCAAGTGTAACATTTCACCAGATACAAAGCTTGAAACTAGGCCGTAACAAATCTTCATATGCTGTGCTAGCCAAGCTTCTTCTGTCCTTTCCGGATGAAATCAGCTTTCTCTTCAGAAGATAGTGTCTAAGACACATGGCTTCTCATGGTCCAAATCTTAGCAGATTTTAATGCCACCAAGGTAATATTCTAGAAAGTCAAATACTTCTCTCAGTTTTGGCTTTAGTCAGACTTGTCTTTTTTCTTTCCTGTTAAAGGCACTTTGCTTGCAACAGCAGATCCTACTGCTGTAACACCTCCAGCCACAGCAGAAACACTTCCTTTGACCAGCCCCACTCCCATTGAAGGCACTGATGTGACTGCTGTTTTTGTGATTTCCAAGCTCTTCCCTCCAATCCAAGCAACACCCCCGATCGTGGCACCCACAGCTCCTTTTGTCACACTGAAGATACCACCAGTCACACGAGAGAGCATGCCGGGCTGCTGCTGTGGGTGGTCTTTGATTGAACCTGAGGGAGGAAACAGCAATCAAGTCAATCACGGTGCCACAATTAAAGCATTTTCAAAAGAGTTATGAATAAGTATTTCCTTTTACAGTCGAACAACCATTGCATGCAGTACATACTTACTTTACAGTTTATTTTTCTTGGATGCTCATACAACACCATTGTTCCAAATAGGAAAGTGCAGTGCAGTGAGATACACACACCTCAATGCTGTTTTCTAAAATGCAAGTCAACATAGGGTCTAGAAATATCAGGCACACAGTTTCCACATAGTTTTAAGTGTGGAAATCAGTCCTTGCCTGTACAACCACCAGCCTCTTTGATGCTGCCAAGTCTTGCAGCCAAGGGAGTCCACTTCTGGATCTCATTAACGGCAAGGGAACCTTGCTCCCCTCCAGTTCCACAGGGCAAGGTGACAACTAAATAACTCCTAGTTTAGCTCAAGAAAAGTGGTCCCCAAAGGCATTAACAGCTGTGCAGGCAGTGACAGGCTCCAATCAACAGAAATCCCACTGTGACAGAGAAACAAAAATCACTTTTTTTTTTCCTGCACGTTGTTGATCATGGAAGTCTGGTTTTCCTTTATGTTATGTTTAAGCTGTGTTTTGAATAATGGTTCCTTGCTGCGTGCTGGGTAAGTCAATTCACAGTTTCTGTTTATGGTACAATTACACAGCTTCAAACTAACGGAAAATACTGAAGTAATAGAAAGCCTCCCAGGTTACTACTTAGCCTCTTCGAAATTCACTAAGTACTTCATACTTCTAACTGTAGGCTTTTAAATCCCGAGGAGATGCACATATCTTACCTCTGAGGTGAACTAAGATTCAAATCCACACGCCACTACTGCATAAGATAATTTCATCTTCAAAGACCAGGACTTTTGGAGCAGTTTGGTTTGCTCCGATACTATGTTAACACTTCATTTCAGCACAGAAGAAAACATAACTCACTGTACCTAAAAACTGGCACATGTTGGCCTACAATACATTTTTGGTGTGAACCTTGAGGAATTTCTGGTCTTTGCAGCAGCACTGCATAGGTGTGTCTCAGCTCATGCCTTGTCAATTCCTCACCAACCACAAATAGCACTACAAAAAAGTTTCAGATAGAACCACGGCAAGAGACAGACATTTCACAAGAAATAAGGATAAAAGTCCCACTGTTTGTTGGGTTCTGTGTGCACATGCATGATTTATAAATAGCTGTAGGTAGAATATGAAAAAACAAGAGGAGGAATCAAAAAAAGAGCAAGCGGAATCACAATGGGCAGATGTAGGGAAGAAGTAATCTTAAAGACACAAGGGAGTCTGAGACAGAAAGAACACGCTCAGAAGACGACAATGAACGTACAGAGAGGCTGGACAAAAAAATTAGATCTAAATCCAAAGACCTGTCAATATCTCCTGAGATATGCCACAGGAGGACCAGCAAAACAGGTCTCTGTTCTCCAAAAACTATTCAGGCTCTCTTAGTTGCTGACACCTGAGAAGACTATTTCTCCCAGCACTCATGAGGAAAACTACAGTGAATGACTTCCTACGTACATCCAGAGTTTATGGTAACGTTAAGAACTGAACCAGGAGTCAGAATTAATTAAAAAAAAAGTTCAGAGTTAAAGGGTGTGCCCAGAGTAATTCAAACAGATGCTGTCTAAATCCAAGAACTGACAAGTTCAGCAAAAAAAGGTATCAAGAGGAATAGCACAACTCAAGGAAGATAGAAAAAAAATATTACAAATGCTTCCATTCCATCTTATATTGGTCTCTGTCAAGAAACTGATACAGATAACAGAATGGCTTGTGGACACTAGAAACATTAATTGACAGCTTTTTACTTAAAACCAAGTAACTCCTGTAGCCTTCACTATGGACATCTCCAGCACAAACACACTGTCAACAAAAGCATGCAGAGATCAGAGTTTATATTTACATACAAAAAGCCTTTAAAGTTTTTTTTAATTGCTGGTTGACTACTACTCTAGGATATGCATTCCTGATCTCCTTGATCCTAAGCAGCACAAGAAAAGTAAAGACAGCACGTTCCTAGATTCAAGGAGAAAATGCCATGAATTCCCAGCACAGGGGCTGACTGCCACAGTACCTCAAACCAACTTCCTGCTCAAAGTCAGACAGTGAACAAAGGTCAGAATGAATGCAGCCTGCAAACTTGGTGCCACCTGCAAACCAGAAGATAAAATACAAGAACAGTACTACCCACAGAAAGTATGAGCAGAAAGCTTTCTCTTGTTTGCATTTCCTTAAATTCTCCAGGCAGCATGCTGGACAAGCATCATTTGAGCAAACTGGAACTACTTCTGTCCTTAAAAAATAAAATTAAAAAATAATACCCAACAAGTTGGTTTCAGAATTGAACCTTTCCTTTAAAAATTCATGTTGGCAGCTAGTTCACAGAGCTGGTCTTTTGGCCAACACTGAACTGCATAGCATTCCATCCACATCCATCTTTTTGTGATGCTGTAAGCATATCACATATGGAGACATTGTATGACATTTTTAAAAAAGGGATGTTCAAGGGTATTCCAAGGGTTTTAACCAAGCTCATAAACCTTGAAGACCGTACATGAAAGAAAAGCAAAAGGAAAAAAATAAGTCCTCAAGGATGGCGTTGCTGTTAAAACTAGTCGGGTATCATTCCATTCCCTCTAGCTACACCAACCCCCTCCATCTGCTCAAAGTACATACTCAAATGCTTATTTTTGTATTAAGCTACTGTGCAAAAGTCCTAGTTATTCACAAGTTTTAAATAAAACCTTGCACATGCAAGCAATGACCGCGCTCTGCTGTTAACACTCTGAATCTGGACAAACTGGACAGCCAAGGTGAGTTTGGAGGGGTTCTGAGCACCCTGACCTAGATGCAGGTGTCCCTGTTCATTGCAGGGGAGTTGGACTAGATGGCTTTGAAGGATCACTTCCAACCAAAATGATCCTATGAAGCTATTCAATATGCTAGGAAGACAAAAAAAAACCAACACTTCTACACTGTCATCTTCAACAAAAAAAATCAATTATAATTTAATCAGTCAGGCCACCATTCAAATTCTATACATGTGGTTTGGCATGTGTGAAACAATTCACTCTTCAAGGGGGAAGAAAAAAAACAGGAAAATAAGCTTATGAAGTTTGACTTGAATATATGACATACTAGGGCATAGGTTCCAACCAGACATCTGTTCTCAAAAACACTTCAAGGATCCTGACAACCCTACAAGAGCTTAACAAGTATTTTCTCTTAACAATATCCTTAAAAACCCCACTGTGCTACCAAAATCTATTTATCCCTTTCTTCTCATCTTCTTGTCCTTGTACTTCCTGCGTTAAGAATACAGCAAGTTATTCTACTTGATCCGCATCTACTTCAGCTGTGGATAATACTGCTGTTCAAGTGAAGTAAATTGTTCAGTTACACAATATGTAAAAGCTGAGAAAAAAAATAACCTGCGAACAACTAGAGCTTTAAAGTGTCATTATAAACCAAAGAATAATGAAACAGAGGAATCAGGACTTGCTGACCTCTACATGTTTACTATGTTTGGTATTAAGGTGAGAGAAGACGAAATACAGAAGACCTATGTGTTGAGAGTGGTTTTTGATCCAGCATGCCCCCAGCCACGCTACACAAACCAAATCCTCACAGTCCACAGCCTAGAAGGGAATACTGCTCATTCAGAATTTTTATTTCCTCTGCAGATATAACAAGACATTTAAAATTCATTTGGTTTGTGGGACCAAGATGTCCCTGTATTCTTTTTGTCATCTTCATGAAACCATGAGATTAAGCCAACCAGTGAGAACCACAACTAATTTTTATCATGGACAGAGTCCATGGAGTACTTCTCCAGAAGTAGAGACAGACCCATCTTGTCTAAAAGTCACAAATACTACAAACTCAGCAAGCATCCAAAAGGGTAGTGGGCTCTTTTCACCTCATATATGGATTGATTCAGACCTCTGGGAACTGATCTGCAAACTACATCCTTCAGTATCTACCTACCTTCTCTAACTTACCAGCAGAGTAATTTATCACAGTAAACTCAATGGTTAGTATCAGGACAATACAGAATGAACAAGAATCCAGGCCTATCCCATCCCAGAACAGAGTTGTTTACTGTTATTCAAAAGGTAACAGAGTTCAACTTGCAGATCCATTTTTAAAATAGATTTGATCTTTTGGCAAATTTCTGTAAACTTACCTGGTATTATGAAAACTAATACATACCTTCTGGTGGTTCATCATGGAGGTAGGATGAGACTTCCTGATGACTCTTGTCTGTTTGATTCATTGTTGCCTAAAAAAAATAAGTTCACATATGCTGCAGATCTCTTCTGCCAAAGCAAGAATACAATTTGTGAATCTAAAAGTCATACAGCAACAGTTCCACAGACAAGGAATTTATTCCCTGTTACTAGATAAGCTGACATTTGCTGCCCAATTATTGCAGCAACTTTTTATTATGAGACTGTGCTGCTGAACTCTTCAACCAGACTGAGTAGTTGAGGAGGAGCCTTCCAGCAGGTCAGCCACTTTGACATGAGCAGCGACCCTACACCAAGCACACCTCAAGCAGCCACCACCATACAACAGCTTCTGATTATGTACTATAAAAGAGATGTGCTATAAAAGAGATTAGCAATCATAGTGGTGGATGCTGGAAAAACAATAGCAGTCTGCCTGTAAGACCCATTAGGACCTAGGAAGCAGCAGTTTAAAGAAACGAGTGCTTGCGGGAGGATTTGAATAAAGGCCAAGAGAAAAAACAAACACACACAAAAAAAAGGTGAAAGAAACATAATGAAAACACTCCATGTGGTGACAGCAGCATAACTGGAACAGTTTAACTATATACAAGCGTTCCAATGAAAACATCTCAGAAACAGGTGACACTAAAACAAAACAACAAAACCACACAAAACCTGCCATAAGCTGCTTCCTAGTGCAGCTCAACATTCTTCTACCTTTCTGCTTTGCCAGGGACTCCCGTATTTTCCTTCTCCCTGCACATATGCAGAAGCCCCTGAGATCACTCAATTTCCTCCTGGGTTTGCTGACAGCACCATAAGAAATGCAGCCCCTCCTGCCATGCCCATTTCTGCAGCTCAGGAGGGTGGATCTGAAGAAGGGATGAGGAGGCAGATGCACAACTCAAGGGTGGGAAGAGTCAGCCTGAAAAAGAGCAACTCCAACCCTCACAGCACAACTGTGAAGTCAAAACAGTGCAGTTAGAGCCAGCACCCGCATGCTAAGTGATAGATCTTTGGATGAGCAGAAAGCCTAAACTGAACATTAACAAGTCTTCACAATCACCCCTGAGGGGATCAGCTCACAGCTCAGGAAACAGGGGAACCTCGATACAAGAAGCTGAACAGGAAGGTGAGCAACAGCATCTATCACCAGCATGATTTGTGTGATGGCAATGGCAAGCAGGTGCCCTTCTGTCTTTTGATGTGGAAGAAGAGAAACAGGAAAGTGATTAACAGCACATCAGTATGGGAGACTAAATACATGAAAGCTAAGAGGCAATTTGGAAAAAAGCAGTTATGTAACTCCTGTTCTTTTATTTAATCACAACTCAGTGAGTTTGAAAAGAGCCTGACAGATCCTAGGAAGAAACAGAAGGGGAAATGAGTTCTGAGAAAGGACCGGATTCAGCACCAAGCCATTTCTTTGTGTTTGTCTCCCTTATTAAAAAGACCTAGCTAGCCTTACTTCAAACAAAGGAAAAATGGTGAAAAGAATTTTCAAAATGACTCTAGGGAAACCCAAATGAATTAGTACAGAGAATAATCTGTATTTATAAAAAACTACCCCTATAATGTATTTGAATCCCCAATATCTAGCCTGCTTGCAGCTCCTAAACACATCCCAGATGAAATTCACTGCTTTAATTTCCAAGAACTTTGCCAACATCTCTTCATAAAAGCCTCAGAAAAATAATTTAACCCTCTAATCACAGACAGAATAACATCAGAGATCATAAGCAAGCTTAGAGGGCAGTTGGAAACTGGTTTTGAAGATGGTAGAATGCTAGGAACCATCACAAGATCCTCGCTGTTTTAGTATTTCCCACTGTTAAGAAGTTATCGGATTCAACAGCACCGACAGCACGTACAGCCCCAGAGAAGGGTCAAGAACCTACTGTGCGAGCCATCATACAAGTATTCAGTAAAGACAAGCCCTGTTCCGTGGAAAGAACTGGAGTAAGGTAGGCAAACAGGTAACTGTTTCGGAAAAGACTGCTTCACAGCTGTCTGTAATCCAAGTTAGACCACTGTCAGATTGACATACAGCTGCAAGCCAAGAAACAAGTGAAGCAATGTATTGATAGGGGAGCTTCACAGTAGAGTTTCTTGTTTAGGGACAAAAACAAAACCCTGCAGCACTCCATAAAAGCAGTGATGCATTCCCTCCCCTCTCTATCTTCCCCAGATGATCAAGGTTATGGAAATCTTGAATACAAGCTACTTTTTAAAAAGGTAGAGCAGAATTTTACACAATACATCACTCACCTTCAACAATCTAACGCAATTAGGACACCTTCTAAGCCACAGAAGTGCCTCATTCTCCTACAGCTCCATGGACTGCAGTGTCCTACTTCACATGGGTCAAGCACTGGTAACCTGCTGTTACCAGACCCCAGAAAGTCTTTTCTAGGTCTGTAAAAAGCAGCTAACAAAAACCAAGTCACTCTTGGTAGGACTGAATTCATTCTAAAGGGAAGGGAGCCTTGAGGGGCCTGGGATCAGAAAGTTGAGCACTGCTACAGTGTAAAAGGGAAAAGTGGATCACAACATCAGAAAACAAAACAATTCTTGCCACAGAAGAGACCTCTCAATGTACAATTCAAGTCTTTTGGGGGTTTTTTTTTGCAGCTCTTCAAAGAAGCAAAGAATCAAGATCTACCTCCAGCAAAGGACTGAAATGTTTTAGATATCTTGATGACAGCTTGACTCACGCTGCTTTCTTTCCTATTTAATGTGACAGGAGACTTTAGAATCTGAAAAACTCTTACAAACCCTGCATGCTGAACAGAACATAGCTCATCTGGTGAACAGGAAACTCCAAGCACAGAAGCACACCTCGAATCTGGCTCCCCTCCAGAGACTTAAGGTGAGGACTTCATTAACTAGAGGTCAAAGGTCTGGAACAATTCTCAGTGGCAATGACTTCATCCAATCCAAGAAGAAGGGGGAAGAATACCATTTTTCTTTAAAAACTGGAGTTGGCAAACAGGTTCTGCTCTTCTATCTTTAACATAATACCATCACAGTGAAAGCACTCACCTACAATTCAGTGTCTCCTTGGTGTGATGAGATCCAAGTGCTTATGTCCCACCTTGGAAGGGAGCCCACAGTCACCCGACTGCTGTTTCCTAAGGGAGGCTCCTCTTCACTCTCCCAACTAAAGGTACGTCCCTGCAAAGGAAGAGAAAGCAAAACCCATGATGGAACTGACCAACACCTGGTTTGTAAGGCATCTGGAGGTGCAAGGATAAGTTTTGCCTGGAGAATTAGATCGTTCAGACACAATATTGATTAAAGCATCTTGGAAACATCCAAGTTCAAGTCCCCCGTACTCTGAATCTGCAAACACACAGAATGCAACAGCACAATTATTATCAGCATTGCAAGTACATGCAACTAGACAAAGACTGAGCATAACTTGGGAGCTTTTCTGACACATTTTATAGCATCTTACTCAAATTATGCTAATGCTGGAAAGAAAAAAAAGATGAAAAAAGGGAGGCTGGGGGAGAAAGGAAGCAAACATCTCTCCTTGGCATGTTCATCCTACGATGCTGAATTCAGTATCTTGAGTCACTGGTGGAAGATCCCTGCTTCCCTTAACACACACATTAAGTGACCCCATGGAAACAGACAGGATATGGGATCTTGATCTTGAGCACTGGTACAGATGGACAGCTGTGAACAAAACATCTGGGGCATGAGTGTTACTTCCCAATCTCTTTTCTCATCTGTGCAGATGAGCACATAAGCTTCATGCATTCTTACGTAAAGAAGCAGAAACAAATGTGGACCTTATGGGAAATTCTGAACAAGAACACAAGTGACTGGATGCTTTTTTCCCCTCTCTATGCTCATGAAGCCCCTCCTCTCCTCTCCAAAAAAAAAAAGAACCCACTTTCTCAGTTGGTTTTGAAGAAGAAAGCACATACTTTCAAACTGTCAGAATACAAATATCCAGAAGCTTCATTGATTTATACAGTCGTAAGGAAAGAAGTGGCTCAGAAGAGGTTTTACGGTTGAGACCTAATGCTGTTACAGGACCTTGAGTGAAGGCTCCAGGAAGTGCTGGAGGTCCCAGTACAGCCATGCATACATCCACATCCGAGCCATTAAACACAAGAATTTCCTCACCAAAATATATTCCTTTGCGAAAGAGGTGTCAGGTCAGCTGTTTCCCCGGAGATTTTCTGCATCCACCTAGAAGAGAAGTGCTGCATTAATGACATCGTATGGAGCAGGGCTACCACTGTGTTCCTGCCACAGTGGGGAGAAGCTCTCAGCACAGCCTCCAGGAGCCCAGCTGTTATGAGATTCAGCTCTCTGAAACACCGAGGACACAACCTCTCCTTCGTGAGTACGGATGGAGCTCCTGGACAGCAGTCGGCACTGATGGCCATCAGCCTTCAGCTAAGCAGCACGTGGACACGCGTGCCACCTCCCTGACTTCGTGCAATGCTCACGGTGTCTCCCAGACTTCGCAGACAAACAGCCCCACTGTTTGAGCTCGGCAAACCCAGCCCAGTAGCCGCCAGCAGCTGGTTTCTCTCAGTGCCACTGCTCAGACGTCTGTGGGCAGCAGCACAACGACCCGAAGATGAGGCCAATTTCGCTTGGCAGCACTGCGCTGCTCCGGCGCTGGAACCACTCCTTGGGCAGAACTGTGAGCAAACCGACCGTCCCAGCTCAGCCCAGAGCCCGGAGGGAGCCGAGAACGGCCCAGAGCTCAGCCATCGTAACGCCCCGCAGGTTACACAGAGGCACGCTGCCCACAGCGGCGCGGAGCAGGCCGCCTCCGTTCTGCCTTCATCTCCCGCAGAGAACCACGTCTCCGCTCGGTGCCCGACCAGGCTGGGTCCCCACATCGCTCATACAGACAAAACCAAGCGCTTCCAGGCTCCTCTCCGTGCAGCTCAGCTTCAGGAGAGGGTGGAAACAGAGAGAAAGTTACGCGGGAAACATCCCAACGCGGAGCAGCGTAAGGAAACGGACGGCACGGGAGGCCGAGCAGCGCGTCCCCGACACGGAGAAGTTTCGGGAGAGCAGAGCGAAGTGCTCCTCCCGCTGCCGCGGGGCTCGGGCGGAGCGGCGGCCCCATGCGCCACGCAGGAGGCGGCCGCCCCGCCGCGTCCCGCCGGTACCCCGAGCCCCGCGGGCCGGCGCTGGGCGGCGGCACTGACGTGGCACCGAGGCCGCGGCGCAGCGCCGCGGCCGCCCTCCTTCCCCCCTCCTTCCCGTCCTCACGGCGCGGGGCCCCGGCAGGAAGCACAAAGGCTGCGCCCTCCGCGGACCGGCGGCCCCGCGCGGCCGCGGCCGAGGCCCTCCGCTCGCTCCCCGTCCCCGAGCGGCAGCGGGAGGGCGGCGGAGCGCCGGACGGGCGGTCGCCCTCCCGCCCCGGGATAACGGCGGCCCCCCGCTCGACGCCCACTCACCGCGCGTCGCGGCGAGCGCGGCGCGACCCGGCCCGGCGGAGACTTTACTCCCGCTCCGTCCTCCGCTGCCGACGTGGCGCCCTCCGCCGCCCGCCCCGTCGGCGCCCGCAGACCCCGCCCCAGCGCCCGGCGCGGCCCCTCGGCGGGCGGGGGGCGCGCAGGCGCCGCCGCTCCCGCCCCCTGCCCGGCCCGCGGCTCCGCGCCGCCTCCGGGTGCCTCTCGGGAGGGTCGGAAGTCGCGGCCCCCGCAGCGCCCCGCGGCGCCTTCGATCGCTCGGGGGAGCGACCCCCGAGGTGGGGGAAGACGTATCGGAGTGTCCTGAGCGAACTCGGCTCCGACGCTGCAAGGAGGCCCTTGTTCCCGGAGGTCCGCCCCTGCTGTTCCTCCAGACGCGGGGATCCCGTGGCTGCCGACCATCCCTTGCATTGAGGCCCTGTCTCTGTGCCGTACTTGACACGCAGGCCCATCTCTTCGCGTTCAGCATTTCCTCCATAACGCAGCCAGTCCCCCATAACCTTTACAGCACGAGGCACCTAGCGATGGCAGCCCTGCTTGTGCCAGGGGCGTTGGAACTTGATGATCCTTGAGGTCCCTTCCAGGCCAAGCCATTCTGTGACTCTGTGATCTGAAAACTCTTCACCTGCTATGATCTGAAAATGAAAGGCACCACAGTGATAGAAATCACTCTCCTTCGGGTTCTGAAAGATGTGGGGTGGAGCAGAGGAGCACATGAGCCAAGCGCTGTAGCAGTGCCCTGGGACGCAGCTCTGTGGACACAACTGGAGCTCCCCGACCCACACCTCGGCAGGGGGAAGGGCTGGGCTGCAGGGATGGCATCTCGGTGACTTTCTTCTTATTTCGTTTTTCATGCATGGAACCTTTACATCGTCAGTGATCTCCAAAGGTCTGTTGTGAATATATTCCCGAAAGACCTCTTCAATACTTAGCTTTCATGCTACATAAATAGCCCTCTTTCACTAGAAATAGCTATTCCAAAACAGAAAAAAAAACATTCAGTCTTTCCCTGTGGAGGAGTGGTCCCTTCCCTTAAATTATATGTTTTTAAGTTATGTCTGTGAATGCACTATGATTACGGATGAAGGAAAAAAATGAAAGGAGGTCAAAATATATACATTTTGTATCCCATTATTCTGATTATGGTTACTTCTCTGGCTGCAGTAGCTGTGGGGAACTGCAGCAAGGCTCAGCATTTCACTATGCTGGACTCAGTGCAGACTGCCCTGAAAGCAACCATTCTCATCCAGTGCAAAACTTCATTAAAGATGTGAAGTGTGTCCCCTCATGGCCCCCCTCATGGCTGGCTGGCAGTTTTTTTTTTCTCCCTTTGTTGGCATCAGTCATGAAAAGACAGAGCTGTGGAGAGAGCATCAGTCTCCTGGATCCAGTGAGGTCTGTGGGACATGCCTGGCCAGCAGACTCCAGTGGGACTGCTCTGCAGGAGATCTGAGAGAGGAACACAAGAAGGAAATGCATGAGATACTCTGTCTGTGCTGTTTCAGTTCATTTTTAGAGATAGCTGTCTCTAGGCCAAACGGAAAGACCACATAGGATGAATGGATGATGGATGGATGGATGGATGGATGATGGATGGATGGTGGATGGATGGATGGATAATGGATAGATAGATGGATAATGGATGGATGATGGATAGATGGATGGATGGTGAGTGGAAAGAAGGAAGAAAAAATAGGAGAAAAGAAGAAGGAAGGTGACCTATCCAAGATTTGTTGTATTGGGAATGGTGAGGCCAGTGGCCAGTGTTACCTTACTAACAGAAGCAAGACCAGCATACACCACTCACATATGTACAGTGTCTTCATTGCATATGAGGAGACATGCTTACTTAAGTGTGATGCCTCTCCTGCAGCTGCATCTTGTCTCATAGAAAACGAAACTGTCTGCTAGGAGTACTGGGTGACTGCAAAGCATGGGGAAAGAAAGTCAGAGATACACATGGTTCTGGTGATGGGTCAGAAAGTAACAGGTCACACACGCTGCTGAAGTACAGTACTGGATACCATTATGAAGCCTAAGTGTCCTAATGCCTTTCTAGAACACAGCTGACTTCAGAGTTGTACCAATACAAACTGGGAATAAACAAGAACTCATTTTTGAGTCTTTGACTGTAACTGTTTTTTTCATGTGAACTCACTGGTTCAAACCACTATCACAATATGAATATATATTTTTAAAAAATTATCAGGAAACATGATGAAGTCCCTTCCAACCCAAGCCATTCTATGATTCTGTGATTTTCAGATTGTACAATCTGTTCACCACTGAACCATTAAACAACTGTTTCCAGCAGAGGGGCCATTAATGAGCTTGTTTCAAGCTGATTACTTGGTGCTCAGCATCATCTTAATTGCTATTTTAAATGTACATTCTGCTATTTAACCATGTGGTGCACTGATGTTTACAAAGGTGAATGGATTTTCTCGTCTCCTTTTATAGGTCAGACACAGTGCCCTTCTGGGGTCAGGTGCCAAGACTGAAGCCACGCAAGCCCTGAAGCAGTCTGGGTCTCCTGCTCGTCCTGCAGGGTGGCATTTTTTTCTGTGCAACAGAGACAGTGCTCAGGTGGGCATTGAAAAACCTGGAACAAAATAATTTCTTATAATGAAGTATTACTTAACTGAACGATAGTTCCCTGTTTAATCTATTCATTAAGTTTTGTTGCCAAGACACAGAAAGGTTTCATATCTGTGGAAGTGCAATGGGGAATTTAAAAATGTACCTTTGATAGGAAAATGACCAAAGTAATTGAAGCAATTTCTCAGAGTACAAATTAAATTCTAATAGGAAGCAGGATTGTTCCTCCTATCACGCTTTTTTTACATTATCAGCGATTATTTGATGTTCCAATCTTATGAATATGAGCAGTCATGAGTAGCATGAGCAAAGTTTGCTGAAACAAATGAGCCTGGAAAGGTCAGCTCCCTGCCTTGGATAAATAAGGTGAGCTGTACCACTTCTGTTTAGTCTCCTAGGTGTGGTGTGCTGCACAGAAGAACAGCAACTTTTTTTTTTTTTTTTTTAATCCTCTTTTAAACAAGTCCTTCTTGCTGTTTCCCATCTGTGTGCTCTGCTTACTCGTGTGTATGCATAATGTTTTGCTGTGTGTTAATAAGGCTGAAGGTTGACTAAGAGTTGGGTGTGTGCTTGCCCACTTTTGTAGCTTCTGAAGAAAACTGCTGGCATGGAAACCTCCCCCAAAAGACTGACATTTCAAATAACATGCTGAACAAGCTGTCCTAAATATGAAGTCAGCTGAAGTGTCTGTCTGCCATGCCTCCATTCTTGTTGTGAAATAAAACATTAACACAGCCGGATTCACCAATCTGCATAGCAAGAAGGCCTTCCATGTTTCTGAGGTTACAAATGTAGCACAGATAGAACCCAGGCCTGCAAGCATGCTGCTTCTTGCTTTTGTCTCCCAAGTGTTCTGTGCAGAGCTGTGTATCTCCTATCAATTTAGATATTCAGCTCCCTGGTCTGCTTCCTCCTTCCTGGTGTACTGATGAGACACCTGAGCAGTTGGAAAATCAGAAAGATACCCCCATGCTTTGTTACAGATACTTCACTACAATAAACAACTGCTTTCCTGTTCTCTTGGTTCCTTCCAGAGGTGGATAGTGTGAAATAATCCTTGGTCTGACTTAAGGTCTAGTAAATGGTCTAATTATTGCTAGTTGTTAATCAAGAGAGACAATGCTGATTGCCACTGGTCCTCAAGGTGTGCATAGTGGCATGCCAGAGACTCTTTCTGCTGTTTGTATTCTTCTCTATGTGGAGTACAGTTTCCTTCCTTCTCCTCATTTTCTAATCAAATCGATTTTTCCTTCAGTTCCTTTTCCTCTTCAAGAGTAAATATAATAACAATGACGATGAGGACAATGGTGTAATGCTTTATTTGTATTTTATAGCACGGACACTCCTGTACTACTGTTAAATCTCTAGGAGATGGAGAACTGTTTTTCAGGAAGTGATAGGATTGCCCATCGCTTGCTTGAGTACTGCTGGGACATCCTGTGGAGCAGACAGCAGCTGGGCGCAAGAGGTGGGGTACATGGTCAACCTGTGTTCTCGTGGTGGGAGCTGGGCTTTGCATGGTTCTGCCAGGAGTGATTTGGGAATACTTGCTGGGCTGCATGGATTTGCCAGGAAGGCAAAAAGGTCACTGTAGGCTTGGGCTTACAAGGGTTTACGGAGTCTTTGCCAGCCAGTGCACTGAGTGACTCTGCAGTTCTGCAGTCCTTTTCCCTTCATTAGTCAGATCCCTTCACTGACCCATCCTGACCATCATTAGCTACATGATCATCCCTAGCCCTGTTTAGAGTTCAGACATTAAATAATTGCATTCTTCTCAGCTTGTTTGACTGTGAGTGATTTCTAAACAAGAGACACCTAGAATAAAATAATAATAAAAGATTAACTTTTTCTGAGTAGAACCATGGTTCAGGTAAAAGCCTCACAAGAATGTATTACCCTTGGAAAAATATAGTGCATTGCATCCACTGTTTTTTACAAGGATAGGGAAAACAAGGGATGTGGTGCCATTTGTTAATAGGAATACACTAGAGAATAAATTAAATAATAAAAAAGGAAAGTTCAGACTTCCCATTGATTACAAAATAAAAACATGATGACTGCTTATAAGCTTTGAAAAGAAAACTCCCTTGAATTTGGAGGTGATGTCAAATTTTGGAAGGTTGGTCTTTACACTGGTCTTTGCTGAGATAGATGGCCCTGCCTCTAGATTTGTCTGATGTTTCTTCACAGACTTTAGATGTGATCTGGAAAATCCGTAGCATTTCTGCCTTGGTCTCAAAAAGAGAAATGAGAGGACAGCTCGAGTCCATCTCTTGTTAGCTTTTCAAAGAATCCCAACTTTTGAGTTGGGAAAGACCCTTAAAGGCCATCCAGCCCAACTCCCTGTCCCCAGCAGGGACACCCACAGCTAGAGCCACTCCAGTCTGACCTTGGGTGTCTCCTGGGACAGAACATTCACAGCCTCTCTGGGCAGCCTGTTCCAGTGCCTCACTGCCCTTATTGTAAAAACTTCTTCATGTCCAATCTAA